TGCAACACGGTGCATTGTGTAAATCAGATCTTTGCCTACTTGTCTTTGAGGAGAAGATTGTTTTTGGTTATTTTCTTGCATTGCAAATTCCTTAATTTAACTATGTCCTGCCCCTAGAAAATAAGAACATAATATTACTGAATTAACCCATTTTCCAGGTTTATGTATTACACTGCCTAAAGAGAGACTAAATTCTCACAGATGCTTAGCTGCACACACAATAAAATGCTCTAACCAGGATTGTAAAGTTCAGGTGCCCTACAGATTTCTGCACTGGTTCTATCTGACCAGGAGGAGCATGTGAATAAACCCGACCCATTCATGCTGTTATCGTAAATTAATATCCAAGGAGTAACAGGTAATAGCACTTTTGTTTCCAACTCCACTATTTGCTGCCAATCTTTTAGAATCAGGAAGTTGAAGGAAAGGTGAGGCGAGTTAGTATGAAATAGCACAACAGATAGGATCTTAAAAACATGCTAAAACTAAAGTAGCTTGAAAAACAGACCCCTTGTAACAGCTGCCACTGGAGCAAAGTTAATTAAACTAAAATTAGCTCTCACAGTTTGCTCTGAAGTGAATCAAGCTTCTTACACCCTTTGAACGAAGACCAAACAAAGCCTTACTTGTTCACATCCATTTTATTTTGCCTATATTGTCATGGATCGTATTCATAGTCTGAAGGTGCCACAGGACCTAACTCCCTTGATCGTCCTTGTTACTTTTGGACTGCACATTAGACAAACAGCCTATTGGGTTCCTTGGATTCAAACAATATATTTTATATGTGGTCAGGACATATGTCTGTGTGAAACGGTCCATTACGGTCCACAGATTAGCCACTGAAACAATGCAGGCTTTGTTAACTAACACTACAAATAATAATAATAATAATTAACAATAATAATTAACAATAACAATAACAATAACAATAACAATAACAATAACAATAACAATAATAATAATAATAATAATAATAATAATAATAATAATAATAATAATAATAATAATAATAATAATAAAGTTGGAAGGGACCTCGGAGGTCATCTTGTCCAACCTCCTGCTCAGGCAGGAAACCCTATACCATTTCGGACAAATTGCTGTCCAGTTTCTTCTTAAAAACCTCCAGTGTTGGTGCATTCACCGCTTCTGGAGGCAGGTTGTTCCACTGGTTAATTGTTCTCACTGTCAGGAAGTTTCTCCTTAGTTCTAGGTTGCTTCTCTCTTTGGTTAGTTTCCACCCGTTGCTTCTTGTCCTGCCTCCAGGTGCTTTGGAGAATAGCTTGACTCCCTCTTCTTTGTGGCAGCCCCTGAGATATTGGAACACTGCTATCATGTCCCCCCCTCATCCTTCTCTTCATTAGACTAGACATCCCCAATTCCAGCAACCGTTCCTTATATGTTTTAGCTCCAGTCCCCTAATCATCTTTGTTGCTCTTCTCTGTACTCTTTCTACAGTCTCAACATAGTGGTGACCAAAACTGGATGCAGTATTCCAACTGTGGCCTTACCAAGGCATTGTAAAGTGGTATTAATACTTTTGTGAACAGCAGTTAGCATCACCATCCCTCTTCTGGCTCTTTTTGAGTGTATGACCTCACCAAAAATAAAGCCACAGCAACCGAGGAATGAAAACAAAAGTTATTTTGATGGGGGACCATCAGGCGATCCCAAGGCTGCAGGTAACAATGTGAATTTAAAATCCATCCCAGAGGAAAACAAGGGCAATTAACTCTGTATTGTGGCCAAGAGAACTAGGAGTCGAGACTGACTCAAGGGAGTCCTTTCTTTGCCATAATTATTATTTAAATTAAGGCCACATTGCTTAAGTACCAGACCTGTATTGAACTGGAGAACGTCCAGATGTCTTTTTAAAAAGCTTGTTGCTGGGTTTAAAATACCTGGCTTGGCCTTGCTTGAAGTTAGGGCTTCTATGTTTCAAAACTGCATCTAAAAATTAGCTCCTGGCAGTCAACAGCTTGAAATATTTTCCGGCACTGCACAAAGATACACATATCAAATGAGAATAAATTTTGCATATGTTAAGTAAACCATTTGCAGATGCTTCTAGATGAACTTGCCTTTTAGCCTCAGAGAGGCGTTTGTTTTGCACAATTAGGCAGAAGTGAGAGCACTAGCAAATAATATGGTACTGTGCTATCCAGGACTGCCATATTCATGGACAAGATCTTCCAGGAAGGGCAGATCCACCAATACATCTCCTTCACACAGTTTGCAGCATCGTAGTTTTCCCCCTGTTCATCTCAAATTAGGGGTTTTAGTTATGCCAATGCCCTGTCCTACCTACCACACCAGAACTGGGGATATAGATATTGCCATCCTGCATTTCTTATCACCCTTTCTTTTTCTAGTTGTTCTTCTTTCTGCAAAACAAGAACAGAAGCGAGTATCAGCAGTAGGATCAAAACAGGAATTGGTCAAGGATTGCTGGAAGGTAGCGATAGGAATTGCACATGAGGAAGCATGGCTGGAGAGCTCCAGAAACATGAGCGTATTTGCATAAATTCATTTCTTGCATCATTGTGCATTTACGTTTATTTGTTTTAAGGCATTTATGCCGTCATTCAGGTCTCCGATCCATGAATTAGGTACAAAAAAGAAGGTAGATTTTTCACGTCCCATATCTTATGATTATTATCAGCAGCCTGATGGTAACTGATAACTCCTGCCCATTTAGCAGTTTGAAAGCATGCAAATGTGAGTAGACTAATAGGTACCACTTTGGTGGGAAAGTTAACAGTGTTGGGGTATAGCCATACTAGCCACATGACCACGGAAAATGTCTTTGGACAATGCTGGCTCCTTTGGCCATGAAACAAATGACTGGACAGGGAAACGTTTACCTTAATCATCTGCAACCGCATTATAAGCCATACAAATAACACAAAATTACAAGGGATTGGATTTGGCTTCATCTTTGACTGATGGGTTGTTATGCAAACTAGACTCAGCCAATCCCCCCATCTGGACAACACACCGTTTTTGTTTTTTTTTCCAATCCTGCCAGAAATAAGCCCAAGTGAATCAGTGAGAAGTATTTCTGAATAGCTGAGCAATCACTGTAAGAGAAGAAAGAGAGAAAGAAAGAGAGAAAGAAAGAAAGAAAGAAAGAAAGAAAGAGAAAGAAAGAAAAAGAAAGAAAGAAAGAGGAAGATTGCATGAGCACATGTGATAAATAAAACAGTAAATTTACCTTTTAGTAAACAGAACTCAAGTCAGTCATAAATAAAGGTAAAACGGGGCTCAGGCCGAAATCAAAGATGGCTAACACATTTGATCTAAACCAGTGTTTCTCAACCTTGACAATTTTTCCTTGCATTGCAAATTCCTTAATTTAACTATGTCCTGAATGCTTTGGAAATACTTCCCAAATATCCACTAGCCATTTCCCCCAAACATCCCACATTGAGTAGAGTGGTCTGAAAAGGACTCACTTATGGATATTCAGTTACTCACAAACAAGAACCCTACTTCATTAGAGAGGCCTCCAGTATCTAAAGAATTTTAGAGCTCTTCAGATCTTCCTATCTAATCCAGGAAGATCAGAAGTAGAAGGGGTAGGACCCGTGAGAAAATCCGGCACCTTCTAATCAAGATGGAATTCCTTTGGAAGTAAAGCCCATTTAGTCCTACATTCAACAGATTTCGCAATTTCCATTCTCCAGACCAGGGGTCTTCAAACTTGGCCCTTTTAAGACTTGTGGACTTCACCTCCCAGAATTCCTCAGCCATCATGGTTGGTTGAGGAATTCTGGGAGTTGAAGTCCACAGGTCTTAAAGTTGCTAAGTTTGTAGATCCCTGCTCTAGACACACCAAACAGTTAACTGATCACAAGTTTTAATTGCCTTAGTACAGGTCCTGTGAAATGAGATTTTTTTTTTAAAAAAAAAGAAAAACTTTGAGGATCAATATTTGAAACAAATAACTAGTAGCACACCTAGTCTTATTTCATCCAAAGAGAAATATCTCCTTTGAGGTGGTAGCCATAGAACACAGCCATCCTTAATTTTAATGCAAAAAAATGATGTTGCTTCTGTAATACAATGTTACATGTATGCAGATTTAAGCTGCAGAAGTTAAATTACAACAGACTCCTACCAAGGAAAGCATCTTCTGTCTTACTGCAGCTCTATTTTCTTTTCTTTTTGTACAAAGCCCTGTGCACTCCTAATTTTGCATCACATGGACAAAAAATAAACAGCGTCGTCTGTCATCTTACTGAATGCATCGTCTCAGCAAATTGCTGCTTGTCAAACAGTTTCACTCAGCAAAAAAAAAAAAAAAACAACAGAAAAGCAAGGAGCCAATTCCTCTCCTGTCAAAAACAACAAAGAGTAGAAGGCAATTTTCAGAAATCCAGAGAGGAAATGCAGAATCAAAGCAACTGATTATCATGCTGCAGGACCAGCCCTTAAGTCATTTGCCCCAACAGTTCAGCTTTCACTTTTTCCGGTGGGGAAAGAGTTTTATTTTTTTTAAAGGGTTCTAAAACATGAGCAGCTTTTCAAACCTGGAACTTCAGAGTGGTAGCTACCAATGTCCCTCACCTGAGTTTAAGCCAGTCTCTCAACCCAACCTTGTTTACAAGACTGTTGTGGTGCTGTGGGGTGTGTGTGTGTCATTATTTATGCCTTTAAAATGATAAATTGTAGTTATTGTAACTGGGTGAAAATAACAGACATACATTTATCCTGAGTCATGAGTCAACCATTTTTTAACAGACCTGATAGATTAAAACTGCACACCATTCCAATCAACACAGGTTGGAAAACTAGTAAAGATAAATACAGTTTGAAGTACAGTGTGTTTTTGGTTAAAGGAAGCCACGAGACATGGGTTTGGCTAGTCTAAAGAAAAGAAGAAATAGGGGAGACGTGATAGCAGTGTTCCAGTATCTGAGGGGCTGCCACAAGGCA